GATTCAACCAATTATTCTCAGAAGATGATTTTAATTGATAAGAATTAATTGCAGTAGATGAAATATTGAAACAGAGAAGAGAAGAGGAGAGAAGAGACCCGAAGGAATACAACACTTACAATTTTCAGACAACCAGCATATACATGGACTACAGCTCCACCTTCCTATACAATGACTTGTCTTCCGATTTTCAAAGTACCCTTCACTAGGACTCTACACATACAAAGACTATCAAATCATCATTAATGGTCTGATGTACAACACACAATTTATTCAACACTTAGCCTACAAAGTCCTCTTTGCGGTTTAACTCAAACATGGACTTTGAACTTCTAATTTTGCACTAATCAATAACAGCCATCATTCATTGTAGACTTTTTATTTTTCATTTCAACATTTTAACACGGGTCCGGTGTTAATATGGAGATTGCCGGACAGATATGGGTTTTTCCGAGGCTTGAGAGCTCGCGCCGTTGCTTGAGGGCTCGTCGGATTGAGCTTAGTCGTGGTTGCTTCGTGCTACGCGGTTGGGTCAGTTGAAATTAGGTCCGGTGTTGCTCTACTCTGGTTTTGATCTACCTGAACTTCCTCTCTCGTCTTCGTTTAAGCTTTTCCGGTTGTCAATGGAGCATACACTGTTGGTCAATATATATGTATACATATTCAGGCCATAGACACCACAAATTCAAACTTGTTTCACCGCCGAACACTTTGCCGTCGCCTTCAGACCGCCGTCCGCCGTTCTGTTCATCCGTGTTCGCTGCCAATTCTGTTATTTTTATTCTTGTTCGCCGGTTCTGTCCATCCGCGCTTCTCGCCGTTCAGACCTTTATCATCGTCGTCGCTGCCAGTATTGAAGCTCTCTTCTGGGTCTAGCTCACTAATTGAGTATCGACCCCAGAACCATCTTTCCTTGCTCGCCGAACAATCCCGCCGCCCTCTTCACCGCCGTTCAGTCGCTTCATCGGTCAGTTCAATCTCAACGTTCAGCTTGCCGTTTCTCGTTGTTTCTTGCCGGTAATACAGCTTCGAGACCGGCGAGGGCGGGCCACGGTCGGGGCTTGACGAGAAAGTGTTGATGCATCAGGTGTTATGGGTTTGTTGATACGAGGGCACCATTGTCCTTCTGGGTTTGGGTGGTGTTCTCTGATATTTAGAGAGAAGAGAAAAAGAGAGGAAGTGAGGAAAAGATTTCAAAACTTTGACAATTGGACTGCCACGTAATAAGCCACCTAGATTCTGCCTAGGAGATCGGTCTAAACTGTCTGCCTGCGTATCACGACCCTAAACATATAGAAATAAATCCGTATAACTTATATATTTTTCGTAAGGAATACATATCTAAGTTATATATATAATAATTTATATATTTTCCAAATTAGGGTTCGGCATGTTTAGAGAGAGAAGAAGAATTGAAGCAGATATGTCAGCCGTTGTTGGTCTTATTGTTCTCCGTATTTTTCTTCCAATACCTCTGATGCCTCGTTAATTTTGCCTTCGACTATGACCGAACCCGGCAAAGTAAATCAGTTCTGCTATAGGGGTTGTGTGTGACTTATGGTTGATGACTGATTTTGGAGAAATAGGTAATTGGTGGTGGTAGCGCCGCCGCCGGTGTCAGAATTCCCACAAATCAAGCATCGTCAATTTCTCAGCACCTGAATCCAAACCCTCTCTTTCTCTACCTGATTTCCCACAAATTATTCATCGTCAACTTCTTAACACCTGAATCCAAACCCTCTTTTTCTCTATCTGATTTCTCTATTTTTGCTTTAAAATAACGATCAAACACAAGCGTTATTTTTGTCAGTTATTGACCAAGTGTTATTTTTGTCAGTTATTGACCAAGTGTTATTTTTGTCAGTTAAAATAACGATGAAACCCTCTCTGTGCCATGAGAGCAAAGGAAGAGGATGACAATGAAGAAGAACAGTGTGTTATAAGGGCAATTTAGTCATTATGTAATTAAAAGGGTAGAATCGACTCTCACCCGCTTTTCTTCAGTCACGTAATTAAAAGGGTAGGATTGACTCTCACATGCTTTTCTTCAGTTAGTTTTAGCCGGCCACTTAAAAAGGGCTGATGTGATAGTTTTTATAAAAGATTAGAGAATAATGTGATAATTTTTTTAATCCAGGGAGTTAGTCGATAAATTTTGTAAATAATAAGAAAATTTTATAGTTTTCATATATATATATATTTCCGTCATTCAAGAAATATCACACAACAAAAAATAAAAATCCTTGTAATGGGAGAGTAGAGTATCATAGTGCATTAAAGTGGTTGTTACTTGTCTGCTGTTACATGCTTCATCGACTCATCACTGCTTTACAGACATAAAGAAATACTAGTATTAAAAAGTAAAGTCTCACGGGCCATTCTCATTTTATAGTCCTCAACACACCTCATTTCCTATTGTAATACTCCTACAATCTTGTGCAAATCCGAAGTGAATATACGGTCAACATTGTAATGGGTAGTTTCTGAGCCAACACAACAGACATTACCAGGTATACAAACTCGAGATATATTGACCTCCCAAATTAGTGCTTACACCGTCACAGAAGAAACAACACGCGGCTAGCCACGTGTCAGTACCAAATGTTGATTGATTTTAGTTGGTAAAGAAGAATTTGACACTTATTGACGATGCGTAACCTCTCACCCTCACCATATATAATATTATTTGTTTTTCATTCAACCAGACAAAAAGCTTTAAGGGAGATCATCGTAATAATAACGCTTAATTTTAAAATTCTAATAAATTCATAGCCTTTTAAAATGTGCAAGTGCCCACATTACACTTCTTTCTCCTAATTGGTATTCACACACACGTCTTTTGTGAGACTTGAACTCCTAATCTATTTTTAGAAAGTAAAAGACTTATACCGCTAGACCACTGGCCCGTTAATCAGTGCTCACATTACACTTGCCCAAAGCGTCACAATCGCCCGCCTATGACGCTCCGAATTTTCACAAACCCGGATAGTCAATGCGACCTGAAAGTTGACCCAATAACGGATCTGGAATGCAGAAGCGGAAACAAAACAAATGCGGAAGCAGAAGGGTAAAAATAGAACAAGTATATCCCCAATAACAAAATGATCATTTCACATGCAAACAAATTCTCAAGTGATGTACGTCATTCCTAAGACACAAACATAACTTCCCATGAAGCCACGGAACAAAAAAGAAACAAAATGCGGAAGCAAATTTTTTATTATTATTAAAGAAAAGGGATAAGTTTAGCCCTAAAGGTAAAATCGTAATTTTTAGAAAGTTATGAGCGCTATCGAGCACATAGATAACGAAAAATTAAAGAAGTTCAAAACAAAATTCACCCAAAACAGAGTCCGGATCCAGCGCCCACATTACACTTGCCCAAAGCGTCACAATCACCCGTGAGAACAACACCACAATATTATTCGCTTTGAACTGCCCCTTGCTAGACTTAGGACTGCAAGTTGGGTTGGCCCAACCTAGCCCAGCCCCAACCCAACCTCAATCCGAATCGGGTTGGGTTGGGCCAACCCGAATTACACCCAACATGGGTTGTAGTCATAACCCGAACTGAATTTTTTCGGGCGGGTTGGGTCGAGTTGACGGGTTGAGATTTTTTTTAATTATATTTTTTTTATTATATTATTATTATTACATATATATATATATATATATATATATATATATATTTAGGGGCAAATCGTTTCAGCCTTACCAATCGCCGCCTCCATCTCTCTTCACGTTCTCAACTCTGAACTTGCCTTCTCTCTCTCTCTCTCTCTCTCTCTCTGCAACTGCAAGGTACTAAATCTACAAGAATCAGAATTTCAAAACCTATATATTTCAGTTTATCTATCTGTTGCAATAATCAAAAGTTCAAAACCTATTACCTATATCAAAACCCAAATCGGCATATCATTTCAGATTGTTCAAAAAATCAAAACCCATATCTTTCAGTTTTCATCGCCCGCTGTTCCAGTTCGGGTTCGCCGTTCGCAAGCTTCAGCAGCTGTCTCTCAACTCTCAAGCTTCGCCCATGGACGGCGGCAGAGAGAGAAAGAGAAAGAAAAAGAAGAGAGAGAAAGAGAAAGAAAGGAGAAAAAAAAAAAAAAAAAATTAAGCCCCTCTCAACTCTCAAGCTTCGCCCCCTCTCAACTCTCAAGCTTCGCCCATGAATGGCCGTAGAGAGAGAAACAGAAAGAAGAGAGAGGATGATGAGAGAGAGAGTTAGCGAAGAGAAGAGAAGAGAAGGATGATGAGAGAGTGTTAGCGAAGGATGAGGAGAGAGAAAGTTAGGGTTTGTGATATGTGTTTGTCGTGGAATTTTTTTTTTTTTTAAATTTTTTTTTTTTTTTTATGAAATATTTCATTTGGGTTCTCGGGTTGGATTCGGGTTGAACCTAGCCCAAACCGAATAAGGTTGGGTTTTGAAAAAACCCAACCCGACTTAAACCCGAATTGTGAATTTATATGTCCAGATTTTAAAATTTATGGGCTGAACTCTGGTTGGGCTGGGCTAGCCCGCCTAAGTTGTACCCCTAGCTAGACTTCCTACGAAGTCGCCCATTTTGATATTAGTCTAGAATAAACACGCTTTATTTTTTGAAATTCTAATTCGTTCACGACTTTAAAATGCGTTGTGTGATAAAAAAGTGTAATACTTTACCTATAGCATATTGCTCCTGCCCATAGAGGTCGTCGCTCAGTGAGAGACTGAATTGCATAAGTAGTGGAAATGGAGGGGTTTACAAAAGAGAAGATGCATCGACAATTCTAACACCCCACCCAAGTGCAGTCACAAATTTGATAATGTCACTGCAAAACCAAGTCTAATAGTTGAACATACACTCCGCACAAAGAGGCCACATCTATTATACAAAATTACATTAGGAGTAGTTATTTACATGCATATAGGATAACGATTATGTACATGCCTACCAAAAAAACGTTAGGAGTGGTTATTTACATGCACATAGGATAACGATTATGTACATGCATACTAAAAAAAGCAGCAGAGGCTATCAACAAGAAATAGCAATAGGACAACATGGTTGAATATCATATAGTGCAAATTGCAGGCTAACAACATATCTTTTGACAACAGAATTAATAACACAGTTGTTTTTAAGGCCATAGACTAAAGAAATGTCTTCCACCTCGCTGGTCAGGTTGCATCTGTACAGCTTCTTCCACTAAGTTACCCATCGCTACATTTCTTCTCCTCTTTTTTCCTTCTTGTGCCATATAAAAAATATACAAGTGTTAATCAGCCTGCATATCACAGCAGCTAAACCATTAAAATAAAATCATTATAACAAGGTCAAGTACTTTTTTGTATCAACTACTAGTACTAAGTAACACGTAACTAAAATTTTCTTCTCCTCTTTTTCCCTTCTTATGCCACATTAAAATATACAAGTGTTAAACAGGCAGCAACTAAACCATAACAATAAAATTGTTATAGTGAAACCAAGTACCTTTTTTTATTTTTTTTATTTTATCAGCTACGCTAAACTTGTCATTGGGTAAGAAAATCGACAAGACTTCAGAAATATGATGTCCAATTTGGTATGGTTTCATTGAGATATCATCAGTGATACTTAAAGGCTTTTGTTGCTGGAACATTATCTAGACCACTCAAATCTGTTTTGGCAGAAAGGTTAAATGTCACTCTTTACATCATCCTACAAAATTATACAATGAAGCAATGATTTAACCATTTCCCAAAAAACCCAAAGGATCCACATTTCAGTTATGCCATGCTACAAACCACCCTGGTTTCATACACACAGAATTAGTCATATTTCGAATGACATGGTCCTCAAGTATAGAATTTCCATCATAAACAACAGAAAATCGTACGAGAGATTCTCCTCAGCCCACCACATCCAGAAACACGCCACATAAATCAGCACAGGACGCTTTAAAGCAATAATCACAAAATTGCCATAATACACTTGCCTACCCTAGTATGATCATGGCACATGTTGTGCTAATGCATCATTTGACAAGAATTTTGACATCTAAGCAATGCAACTGAATGATAAAAAAGGTTGGCCTTGGAAACAGGGTGGTCATGAATGAAGATTCCATACCCCTCCCCTCAAGATAATGAATAACTGAATTAAATGATCCAATGTCCCATGGACATGTCAGGTCACGAAAGGGCCTACGCCAGTAACAGATACTCACTCCTTAGCTTACTCGATAACACCCACACACCTCATGTATATAATATATTCATCCAAAGTTTTTGAAATCTCATTTTGCATCTTTCAACTGTTCTGTCAATGTCTAGCGGTCTCAATCTCAATGACTCTTTCAGTCTCTCTCCCCAGTCTTGAGGCATAAACATATATATATATATATATATATATATATATTTGCAAATACACATACATATACAAAATATAAACACATGTATATATTTAAACAAACTAAGCATACTTTTTGGCATATGAAAATCTCGGGTTTTTGTGAAAGTTTTTCATCTTTGATCTTTGCTTTGGTTGAGATTTATGCTAAATTCAATATTTTGTTCTTATATCTTCCTGTAATATATATTCATACATAAATTTGTGTATTTGTATATATTAGACTATTAGTGCATTGTTTTCTGCTTATCTTCATTTTCTTTGTTACTGAGGATACAAGTAGGATTAATTATGTTCGACTTGAAAGAGAATATGGCCATCAGCGTATAATCTATTTGATTGGTCACTGTAGTTCTGCATTTCAATATGATATACCATTTTGTTAAAAGATTTGCAGACAAAATTAGAACACACGAATCTGAGAGTTTTGGAAACTCTCTCTCATAAGTTGGTCCCCGCATAGTGTGTGATATGTTGGCTTAGAATGGTTTTTTTTTTTTTTTTTTTTTTTTTTTTCAGTAAACTGTGGCATATTATTTCGATGTTCCAAAACACATTTTTCAATCATTTAACACACTTGTTTTTTTATATGGCCTCTACAAATACATTCATTTACATTTAGGCTCCAGCTTATAGCTGTTTCTCTACAAGTTTACCAATTACCATATACAGGTAATTGATTATTCGATTACCATAAGTAGACTTGCTACTGGAACAATAATCAGTTGGTCACAGCTAAAGATTTTTTCCTTTTTTAATAAACAAGACATGCATTTCAAGAGAACGTTCTTGCTACAATATCATCGTGATTGCTAAATATATAACCAAGTATTAAACTTTGATTTGTATAATATAAAGAGTGCCTCTCTCATCCAATCTCTGTCCAGATAAACCAGTAAATATTACAAAAAGAAAGTGGTCACACGAACATCAGTTAATATGCTATAATACAGCTGTCAATGTTGAACTCCACTCACCGAGATGCATTTTTTTGTCAGAATTGTCATTCATCATCATCCTCCTCAGTTTGTGACGTGTTTCTGGATGTTGTCTCTGCCTCCACTGGATGGGGAGTTGCATCTGGAATTGAGCAAGAAAGAGGCATGAAGAAAATTAGATCATGTCACATTTCATCAAAGATGTAAAAAAAATCAGTAGAACTTGAAATTCCTGCCCATGTCACAAAACCATAGTTATAAATTGCCCAAATAATGAAATTTAGTCCGGCACCTTCTACATCTTAATTGGCCACTCATACAACTGCAAACAGCCCAAAGAAATTACATGTCTGACCATAGTGCAAGTGTATCAAAAATCCGTTTTGGAGTGCAAACGGTGGAATTTGGGTATAAAACTACTCTAACCCAACGCAAAAGAAAAATAGATATCTCATCAGTGTTAAAAGTTCTACGATGTCTTGGACTCTTGGCACCTACAAGAAAATTAAGGTGACCCCATTCATGCAACATATGGAAAAATATAATGATTGATCAATTGGCATTACAGCCCTAGGAGCTATGTCAAGCTTTATTACACCAGCTTGACTGCCCAATATCACAAATTTATATCAATTGTAATGGATGACACAAAACTTCCAACAAGCACAAGCACGTTACTTTGAAAGATTTTTTTTCCAGATACTTGCACCTAAACTATGCAATGCAGAAATAATAACCTACAATCCAAACAAAGTTTATCATTAAACGAGACCCATTGATACATAACGCTAGAAAACTAGAACTTAAGCATGTTTCGCAATTCTCTTAAACTTGGTTTGGATATCAAGTGGAGCTTTTGAACAACATCGAATTGGACAATAAATAAAGAAGTTAAATTTTACATTAATCAAAAAAGTTTAGCAAATTTCCACATTAATCAATTCAATCAAAATCAAAAAATCATATATCACTGACAAAATGGGTTTATGTGCATAATAAAATGAGCCGCAGCATACCACTGACGAAATAGGCCGAGGAAGGCCACCCACGAACGTTAGTCAACGACATCACCTCCTCTTCAGTCAACGTATTCGCCAACTTCTGAACCAAATCGGCGATCCCGTATGACGGTCGACGAGGCGGAACCCAATACGAAGATCCCGGGACGAACGGCAGCCAATCAGGAGCCGATCTCTTGGCGATGATTCGGTGAATCGCGTCCTCAATCCTCTGTACCGCCAAGGCCTCGCGTTGCTGTTCGGAATCGGAATCGACGAGATTGGGATCCCCAATTTGGGGGTTACCGGACTGACTCGATTGATTCCGGAGGGTTGCGATGCGAGATACGTGAGGGGTTGGTGGGGATTTGGTGGCGAAGAGAGAGGGGTTGGAGGTGCGAATTAGGGTTTGAGAGAGAGAACGCGCCATGTAAAAATGCAGAGATATAGAATTTTAGAAAGAGAGAGAGAGTGATGGATAATTCGGAGAGAGAGACTGCTGATGGTGTAGAGAAATGTGAGCTATATATGTGGTCGTTCTCTAGATTTAGCCAAATATTGTAGAGGCGGTTTACACGTGTTAATGTTCGCTCCTGCACAGCGTATTTAAATTCTGAACAAATACAAAAATTTACACTGCCTAATTACACCATCTATTATTATTATTATTATTATTATTATTATTATTATTTCTGTCACTCAAAAATTTACTATAAAGGAATGGGAGTCTAACACTGGGATTTTATTATTAGACTATTTTCTTATAATTACCACCTAATTATTGGGGGAAAATATACACCATCTATTAAATAGAACTAACAAAATTAGGGGTTATTTTTTTATAATAAATATATGCTATGTATTTATTTATATTTATATATGAAAATGGATAATCAAAAACTTTTCTCTCTCAAAACATCTGTAAGGGCAAGTGGTATAGTGCTAGCCATACAGGCTAGCAAAGTTTTGTTGGATTGCTAGTCACATCAGCAATTGTGTTTATGTGGTTAGCAACAATATATTGCAATTTTTTGAACACGGTATGGGTTAATTGATATTTATTATTTTATTATTTTTTGTTGTACTTTTTTAATACATTTAATATTTTTTGAGTAAAAAAAATTAAAAATTTATGTATTTTTTTGTTTGCTTGTATTTTTTAAAACGGTTACTTTTTCAACCACTTGAATTTTTTTTTTATTATATATTGCTATCTTTTAGTCACGGTATGGGTTAATTGATATCTATTATTTTATTATTTTTGCTTATATTTTTTAAAAAGGCTACTTTTTCAACTACTTAGAAATTTTTTTTATTATATATTTGAATAGGATAGAGCAGTTGTGGGCCAAAGAAAAAAAAAAAAAAACAAAACAAAAAAAAAAAAAAGAAAAAAGAAAAGAAAAGAGCCGAGCAGTTGTGGGCCAAAAAAAAATAAAAATAAAAAGAAGAGAGAGCCGTTCTGCAGTGTTTGGCTCGAAATGTTATTGTTAGCAGTTGCGATGTACTTTGCTATTCTCCTTCTGGGTCCCACAAATAGCTAGCATTATACCAATTCAAAGGCTAGCAATACTAACTCATTTACTAGCAAAAAGCTATCCATACCGGTTGCTCTAACCCTAAAATGCAACTAACAGACTTGTTTATTCTTGTGAAAAATAAAATAAAATCTTTTTTTATTTTGTAGCACAAATAATATATTTTAAGAAAATATATAATAAAAATTAATTACTAAATTTTATTTGTGAAAATATGTAAACATTGAACAAATAGAATCTAATTCAAGGAGTGCTACACAAATTGGACAAATAACAGATTGTGAATAATAACAAGTATGTATATATATATATATATATATATATATATATATATATTTAAAGAACTTAATTGAATACGTGAGAGATGTATTAGTTATGGTCTTCGTAACTTTTTACTTCAAGATACAAAAATTATATTTTTTAGTGGTCTTTTTTATGTTAAGGAGTTCGTGGATTCATCTTATGCAGGGCCAGAACCAGAGGCGGAGAAGTCAATGCCTACCTCATCATCCTTATCACAAAGTCGAACAAGTTCTGCTACATCTAAAGAGAGATTGGGAAATAAGAAGGCAGGCAGCAAACTGAAGGGAATAGGTCTCTCCCTACGCATGTTCTACCTTTAAAAGGTTTAGGGCATCTGAGAGCTATCTCTAAACCCCACCTTAATGGTTAGTTTTGCTACCTGGAATATTAGGGGCTTGAACATGCTCCCTAAGTAGCTGGAGCTGCAGAATATTATTTCGTCCTATATATAAATTAGACTTGCTAGCAGTACTGGAAACAAAGGTTTCTCCGAACAATAGTCAGTGGTGTGAACTGGTTTGTGATGGGCAATGAAATTGACACGCTTTCCACTCCATCCTTCTGAAACGTGTTCTAGCAAGTTGTTTGGTTTGTAGCAGTGGGAGCTTCCCTGATGGGGGTGATGACCATTTGTGGTTGGGGCTTCTGCTAGGTGACTTATCCTGCCTCTGAGCATTGAGAGTATCTGCATCTGCAATAGGTAGTTGAACATAGAAGGATGAATAAGGATCCACAACAGCATTAGGGAGCTGAACATAGGGGAATGGTTGAGCCCCTCGTCTGCAAAAGCAATGGATGAACCCTTATTTCTAACAACCTTTTTCCCACATAGCTGCAGTCTGGTTGGCAACATCATGATGAGGAGAGGCAACAACCAAGCTAAAAGGACATATGGAAGAAGTATGCCCTACATTTTTACATGTAACATGGTATTTGGGAACCCTTTTTTGATATTCAACGTGAATTTGGACAGTTTTGCCATCACCCTTTCTCGAAGGGAAGGAATTGATAAGAGGAAAATTAAGATCAATTTCCATGCAAATGCGAGCAAATTTCAGCTTCTGTATGCCTTCAGTAGCTTGATTAGCGTGAGGTCGTTTACCAAGTGCACTAACAATGTGGCTTAGGCCCTTAGCAGTCCATAACTTGAGTGGGATATTAAAAAACTTGACTCAAACATGCACTAAATGACTATTTTGTTTGTCTTACACCAGGTTAGGCTTTCATTTCTGCAAGTGAATTGGTCTTCCGAGGCCCTGATGCTAGAATGTGATCAAGCTGAAGCTCATTTGCAAATCTAAAATAGTATATGTACCATACTTTTTTTCTTTCCAAAGCTTCATTGCAGCTTCTTGTACCATATTAAAAGGAGGTTTCTTTGTGGGGAAATTCCCTGCTATCACCCCTTTCCAAAAGGAATTTCCTTCTTGCTCAACTTCTTTTTGAGGGCTCACCACAGCACCGCAATCATCCTCCGAGGGCTCAAAAAATTATAACACCATTCTTTGGGAAGATGGCCGTGAAGGAGGTTGTTGGGCAATATCAGCCCAATATCTAGTTCTAGTATAACTGGTTGGTGATTGCTTGATTGATGTGCATTGTCCATCAGATGAAGGGGAAGCTATTTTCTCTGACAAAGTGGAAGTCAAACACGGGTCATTGTGCACTGTCACAGAAATGAGAGCAACCCTAGCGCATCAATGAAGTGTACAATATGTGTGTTTGTGTGTAATGAATTGCTCTCCTATGCGGATTACACACTAGTGGGCCCAACTCATATTACACACTCAGCTCTTCACATATAAGGATTGAAGTGGAGGCGCAGTGGGTCTTGTGTGGGCCATGTGTGAGATAATGATATAAAATGATATTGTATGATGGTGTGTAAAATAATTATTGTATGTGTATTGAATTAATTAATTAATGAAAAGATAGTTAAATTTTAATTAATTAAAAAAAGTCATTTTTGTAAATAAATAAAAAGAGTCATATAATTTGCATAATAATTTAATTAATTATTTTTAAAAAAAAAAAGTTTGTACTCTTTGACTTATCAATTTTATTTATTTATTTATTACATAATAATTTAATTAATTTGCATAATAATATAACAAATAAAATTTTATTCGATTAATAAATTTAAACATCTTCACCACGTACTGATTTAATTAATTCGCATAATAATATAAAAATTACATTTTATTCGATTACACCAAATTTAAACATCTTCATTACCAAATTGATTCTACAAATGTTCCATCAGATGTCTCTTGAGATCAGCATTATCCGCTCTATTACGAATTTTTCTAAAACGACCGGAAATGTGTGCCGCCAACATTGTTGGGTTTCGAATGTATTGTGGGAGGGATATTGGCTCATCCGGCGGAGGTGTCCATTGCAAAATGTATCCACGCTCATCTTCAATGATCATATTATGCAATACGATGCACGTTCTCATTATCTTGTTTAAATCTTCTTTATCCCAATAATACACAGGTCCTTGCGTTATAGCCCACTTGATCTGTAACACACCAAATGCTCGTTCAACATCTTTCCTAACGGCTTCATGTTTTTTAGAAATAATTTCTCTTTCACAGTTGTTGGGTGTGGGATGGTCTGAATCAAAGTTGCCCACTTGGGAAAAATACCATCAGATAAGTAATACCCCATTGTACGTCGATGCCTATTTACCTCGTAATTAATCGGAGGCATTGTGCCATTGATCAGGCTATTGAATACCGGGGAACGATCTAAGACATTCACGTCATTGTTTAAACCAGCCATACCAAAGAAAGCATGCTAAATCCACAGATCTTTCGATGCAACCGCCTCCAATATGAGGGTAGGCTTATAATTTCTTCCCTTGTCTGTGCCATGTCACCCTGTAGGGCAATTCTTCCATTACCCAATGCATACAATCTATAGAGCCAAGCATACCTGGGAAGCCTCTTTCTTCCCCTTCTCGAAGCAGACGTGCAATGTCTTCTTCGTTCGGTGTGCGTTGGTACTACGCGCCCTACATACACCACAATTACAGCATCACAAAAGCGCTTCAAGCTTTCAACCGCAGTGGTTTCAGAAATCTTTATGTACTTATCACAAAGATCTGCTGAAATTCTATATGCGAGTATACGTATTGCAGCTGTCATCTTCTGTATAGGGGTGAAACCCGTACGACCGAGGGCATCAGGCTTCTGGATGAACCATTCGTCATATGCTGTAACACCATTTAAAATGCGAATAAACAACTCTCGGCGCATCCAAAATCGTCTAAGAAACATCTCGGGTGGAAAAGTGGGATTTTCAGCAAAATAATCTTGGAATAGCTGTTAAGCTGCTTCCTCTCGATCATGTTTAATATACCTTCTCTTACAACGTCGAAAGAATGCCTTTACCTTCTCAGGCGATAACAGTTGCATCACTGTATTCATCCTTTTCTGACGTTCTTCAAAAAAATCTTCCCCGTTAGAAGATGAAAAGGAACTTAATGGAGAAATTGACCTGGACACTGGAATAGATTGTGATGATGAAGCCATTTTTTTTTTTTTTTTCTATAATAAAGATAAAGACTCAAAGAAGAGTAAATGAATTCGAAGATGTAAAGAAGTGGACTTGGTAATTGAAAAAATGAGCAAATGAGTGGTTTATATAGCCATTGAGAATATAGTTGTTGAAGAA